AGCTAGTCGGCCAGGCGTGACCCACTACAGTTAACTATAATAACCTTAACACTACACGATACACCTATAACCAATTCTAGGGCTTGAGAAACCCGGGCGAGTAGTAGCAGCCTCAACCAGAGGCACTTAAAACCGCTCAAAATTGGCCAGATTGCACTCCGATTTCCCGGCTCAATTCGCTCTTTATGTAAGGGAGCTCAATGCGGCCGCCATGTTGTTGATTTGAGCTGACAGGTCTTTCCGTTGAGGGGCCAGTCCGTGCGCAAAGCTTCATTTTTCGCAAATTTCGGTCCGTATTTTGGGGACAGTAAGGTCCTTGGTGCGGACAATCCGAGTCCTTGTGCCGAATAATGCCATCAGAAATACTCAAGACCTACTGTCGTAGGGTAGTTGCGTCGACAAGAGAAGGTTCCCTCAATCAAAAGCCAGGTAAAACAGAGTTGGTAAGAAGAGTTTTTACCGCGCAAAAAGAGCTTTACAACAGACTCTGTCAAACGATCGGAACCACTGCGTCCTCGGCCAGTTCCGCTCCTGCAAAATCTTGACTGCTAGAGAGGCTCCTTGTGGCCTGTGCAGCCAGTCAGGTGAAACGGTGCGCATTGATTATTTTCGAGCTTATGTGCACTTCAAGTTAAGTCGCCGGGGGACCGTAGGACATCTCGGGTCTCTAGCTGCGATTAACGGCGCGCGGGGAAGTTGTCTGATCACGCGTGAGTACCAAAGACTTGACAAGCGAAGACAAGATGAGTCAGCGCAGCAGAACTGTGAGCAGGCTACCACACTACTGTTGTGACTAGCTCGCGTCGAATTGCACTTTCTCAAAGGCCCACCGATGCGATTCTCGACGCCTGGATCAGCCAATCACAGTTGCCACAAAGCCTGCGCTCTGGCCGGCGACGAATAGAAAGCCTGCACGCGTGTACACTATCTCTCTGGGCCGCGGGGATTCCTGTAACTATGCCTCACTTCGGATCACGCTGCTCTCGCGGAAGGTCGTGCTCTCCGTAGTCAATCTCCTTCTAATCTTCGTTCTTCTGTGTAAACAATATACTGTTTATATTACTCTGGCCTTTACCGATTTCTCTTCTACTAAGTTACCGTCGTCCGAAGAGCGCAGTTGCTCGTGTTTAACTTACTTAACCCCCTGCGATAATACTACCTCCCCGGTACTGCGCCAGTTCTGGTCCATAGAAAACCCTCCTCCAACCGTCCTGTATTCAGGCTGGCGTTCGAAAAGGTTGGATCCTATCGCCGCTTCTGTTCAACTACGCTATTGATTGGATCCCCGGGATTGCCCTTCACAAAGCTGACTGTGCTGAGTTTGCACTCAGATACCGGTTTAGCGATCTCGAATATGCTGAGGTTTCAAGCTTCATTGATCTGCAGTCTATGCCGTTGTCGAAAGAAATGATCATCGACTACAGAAGGTTCCCTCAAGTCAAAAGCCAGTTAAGACCAATTAGGGTGGACAATGTACCGTAGGAAAGGAGCTGACAAAAGGCTTTGCAAAGACAGGCTGCTCACAGTAAACAAGCCGTTTGTTGTGCGGGTGCTCTATGCCTCTGCGCAGGGTAACAGGATCCGGGGCGTCCTTCAGCCAATCAGGAAAAGGGGCAGATATCCGTATTGAAGAACGGACCGCACAGATGCACGGCATATGCGAAGCTTTGTGGGGATAGAAATATTGAGAAGAAGTTGTTTCGATCACCGGAATCATATTTTTTTAGTCTGAGCTTTCAAACTCTTGCGGGAGCCCATCGTCATCGACTCTATCGATGGACTTCCGCAAGAGTTCGAAAGCTCGGATTAATAAATCTGTGATTCCGGTGATCGAAACAGTTCCTAATTCTGTTTCCTCCTCCTCCTTTTTCTTCTTCTTCTTCTTCTTCTTCTTCTCAATCTATACACAAACCTGGGATGCGAACTTTTGCCTCAATTCGTGAGATAGAAATATCGCATCGGGTCAATAGGCACCTCCGAAGTCTGAAGAAAACTCACCGTGTTGCGTCAATTCCGGAGACAATGTCATCTTTACTCCGTCCATTCAGCACCAACCTCGCTCCAGGGTATTTGTAACCGTCTACTTCTTCGAGTTGACAGCCAGTAATCTCGAGAGGCGCCTTCCCATTGGCAGGGATGCAGCATGAAAACATTTGGTCATCCTAGCGTTTATGGACAAGCTGACCGACTTAGCGACCTCGTTCACCCGTGACACCATAGACTGTAGATTGCCAAAGCTTGAAGCTAGTAAAGCGTATCATCCGCATAGTCAAGGCCAGTCAACCGGCGCCCGGGTGCAAACTTAATAGGATCCTTTTCCAGTAAAGTCCTCCCGAGAACCCGGTCAATGGCGTAGCTAAAGCGGATGGGCGACAGGACACAGCCTTTTTGAAAGTCAGACCGCATAGCAAAGGGTTCTGAGAGGTTGTTGTTGTTGACTTGAACCCGCGCAGTGCTGGAGGGTCTTAAATAATAAGTTGAACGTTGCGAGTGGTATAATTGTATAGATACTGCGACGGCCGCGGCAGACTCCATCACCGAAAAATAACAATTCTCGGTCATCGCTTGCGTACGTGCTAATCTCCTGGTTCAATACCTGCTGCCTCAGGGTCAGGCAGATTTGCAGGGAGCGCTTGGCCAACGCAGCAATGGCCTCCATCCATCGGGCACAGTGCAACACACCAGCTGGACACCACTTGAACTTGCTCCAAAATTGCATAAAACAGTTGTCATCAATCTCTCTCTCTGGCCTGACTGGACGCAGTCGACATTCGCTCTGGTTTCGCTCGTTACCATTGCTGCCTGAGACAGCAAGTCAGGGTTTTGTGCACAATAAATTGCTCTGTCTGGTTACTTCTGTCTTTTCCAATCACCTAGGATTCGGCCTAATGATTGTAGTGCTCCGGATACAACCACTGCTTTGAAGTCGCAGAACAAGGGACATGGACATGTTGGGCTCGTAGCACACAGACAGTCGTAAGCCATAGTTGGTACACGTGTCACTGGAAAGTTTGGTTCTGTAGCGTGGACGCCAGAGTGTTCTGAGCTGAGTGAGTAAATCACCAAGCATATTAACAAGTAGATTTTGTGAGCCTTTCGGTCAGTTTGGAAAGGCCGGATTTTTCTCCATTATCAGCATGGAATCTTACTAGGTAGTGACACTCTTGCACTGAATACATATACGGCCAACTTCACTAGGGCGTTTTTGACAACTTCACTTTCCGGACGAGTTACACCACCGTCGTGCGCTCTAACAGCTAAAATATCACAACACACGAACCACAGGCAACACCTATCTGTCTCGGATAAACCTGCAAAGAAACGGCGATGACGCGCCTACATGACCACCAATGTGCGTAAATGCTCAGTAGCCTCAGCATCCCCCCATGCGTGGCTTCACAGATTTTCCGATAAGTTAGCCATGCCAACTGCTGCGCTCAACCGAACAAAGACAGCCCATGCAGCTCGGTGTCTAATCAGGACAGCTTTTTTGTCTGCCAAATAGTAGGCCACCGGCGATGAAAGCGAAGTGGAAAA